GGTGAGCGCTGGTCCCCATGCCCTGTACCCGCTGGGCCGGCTCTGCGGGCACTGCCGGAGGGGACCGTCCTGTCTCCAGCACCACGCTAACACCCAGTGGGGCCCAGGCACCACCTCAGCTGGCCCAGAGCCCCTCCCCAGGGTTACTAGGGGTTGTGGCAGGCCCTTGGGTGACAAGGACCAGTTACCTCACCCACCATGCCCTGGGCACTGCTGTCCCTGGGATCCCCGCTGGTGCCCGTGCCCTCCGTCCCACCAGTGGAGCCGTGTCCAAGTGCTTTTCTGCGACAGGTGAACAACACCAGCTTCCAGAACCGGACCCGCGAGGAGGCCGTGGAATATCTCATGAGCCTGCCGCCGGGCGAGGACATCACGCTGTGGACCCAGAGCAAGCAGGACAGTGAGTGATGACCGGACTCCCCCTGGGCTTGTGTTTCCCTGTCCTCTGTCTTTTCTGAGTGAACATCAGAGCTGCTGGACCTGCCGTGGCCCTTTCTGCCCCCGCAGGGTGGTCCTTCTTTGCACCCCCCCCCTCCTTCTGCTCCCAAGAGGTGATGGGAGGGGACCAGACCATCCTGGCCCTGTTTGTGCCTCAGCATCCTGGAGCGTAGGGGCTTTCTGGCATCATGGCTAAGCCTGGAGAGGCCAGTGTGCGCTGGAGGGTCAGGTCCTGCTGTTCCCAGCATGCCTGAGAGAGCCAGGGGAGGAAAAGGTGTTCCCAATGCCCTCCTTAGCAGCAAGGGCTACAGTGGAGGCTCCTGGCCAACCCAGCTTCTTCCCAAATCCCTCCGACACCTTCCTTTCCAGCATCTTCTTCCTCAGCCATGTCTTCCTCTGATGGTCCCTCTCACCCTGGGCTCCAGTTTACAGGAAGATGATCTCGTCCAACGTGGGTGACTCATTCTACATCCGGACACACTTTGACTTCGAGAAGGACACACCGTCGGGGCTCAGCTTCGTCCGTGGCGACGTCTTCCACGTGCTGGACACCATGTACCAGGGCAGGCTGGGGAGCTGGCTGGCGGTGCGCATGGGCAGGGACCTGCAGGAGCAGGACAAGGGCATCATCCCCAACCAGAGCAGGTAGGGATGGAGCCAGGAACGGTCCCAAGACGAGCAGAGCTGCGAGATGGCTCCCCAGTGAGATGGGGACATGAATGGTGGGCCCAGTAAGAGGCAGGGCGAGGGCTGGTGGAGCAGTGGTGGGGAGCGTGAGCTGGTGAAATCCCTTCTGGGGGGTGATGGGGCAGCTGATGCTCTAGTTGCCCGAGGTCCCAGAGGGAAGAGGCTACCACAGCCTCATCTGGCTGTGCCACCGAGCGGGGATGCCAGCTGCTCCTGCCCCATTCCTCAGAGCCCGGGAAGACAAAGTTGGGATAAATCCAGAGGCTCCAGGTCCTGAGCCCTTTCCCCTCCCAGGGCCGAGCAGATCGCCAGCCTGGAGTCGGTGCTGAAAGCCACGTCTGGTGCCAACCCCTCTGGGGCACGGGCCGAGTTTTGGAAGCTGCGGGGCCTGCGGGGAGCCAAGAAGATGCTGCGGAAGAGCCGCGAGGACCTGTCTGCCCTCACAAAGCAGGGCCGCTACCCACCGTATGAGCGGGTGGTCCTGAAGGAAGGTGGGTGCCAGGGCTGTGTCCCCATCACCCAGACCCACCCAGGGGACATCAGCCCCGGGGCTGCTCCATTGTGGGTGCCAGTGGGCTGGGCTCTCCTGGGAGGAGTGGGGTGAATCGCAGGCGCCTCGAAGAGCGGGGCTGGACGTCCGGGTGCTGTGAGCTCTGCCCTCCCTGCCAGCCTCCCCGAGCTGGTCTGTCTTCTCCCCACAGCCAGCTTCAAGCGGCCGGTGGTGATCCTGGGCCCCATCGCAGACATTGCCATGCAGAAGCTGAGCACGGAGCTGCCCGAGCTGTTCGAGATTGCCCGTAAGTGCCCCCCAGTAGATCCAGCAGCTGGACACTTAGTGTCCGGGACCTGTGGGAGCTCTTTACCTGCAGCTCTGTCCCAATCCTGCCTCGTTGTCTCCTCCCCATGACAGCCCAATACCTTCCTGGACTCATTCACCCTCTCCCCATGCATTGTGATACCAGCCAGGCCCAGACATGCCCCACCTTGAGGGACAGGGGCATGGCCAGTCCCAGCCTGGGGCTGCCAGAGGTGCCATGTGTCCCCCAGCCCCTCTCATGCCATGTCTCCATGTCCTGCAGCGAGTATGCCCCGAGATGGGGCATCGTCCAAGGTCATCAAGTTGGACTCGGTGCGGCAGATCGCAGAAAAGGTGAGGGACCTTCCCCACGTCCTTGGAGTCGGGTGGGCCCAGGCCTGGAGGGGAGCCCATGGCCTCCGTCGCTGTCCGCAGCGGGGCTGATGGCCGTGCCCTGCCCCAGGACAAGCATGCCTTGTTGGACATCACGCCCTCGGCCGTGGAGCGCCTCAACTACGTGCAGTACTACCCGGTGGTGGTGTTCTGTGAGCCCGAGAGCCGGCAGGGCATCAAGGCCATGCGCCAGTGGCTGGCACCCGACTCCAGGAAAAGCTCCCGGCGCCTCTACGCCCAGGCCAGCAAGATGAAGAAGTACTGCAGCCACCTCTTCACTGCCACCGTCAGCCTCAGCGGCAGCAGCAATGCCTGGTACGAGGCGATCAAGGACATCATCAGGACGCAGCAGAGCCAGCCCATTTGGACGGCAGCGGAGCAGGTACGGGGCGGGGGGGG